CAGGTCCTGACGCTCATGCCTCTAGTTAAGGACCTGGCAGCTGCTTCCAAAAGCTAATCTCTATGCTCTGCACGTCCAGCTGCCAGCTGGGGCCCTCCTTGCATCGGCCTTATTTCTAGCTAGAACAGGGTCACCACTTGATGCTGCTTCTGTCCAGTGCTGCTTCTGTCCTACCAACGTGGGAGCCCTCCCTTCCAGGAATGGCTGGCTCCAGGGCAGGGTTTTCTCGCATACATCTGGATGCTGTCCTTTTGATAGGTGGCCATTGAACCCCCAAGGACGAATCTTGCAGCCAGGTGAGTTGTCTTACGTGAAGCACAGCTTCCTCCTTCCCCAGCAGCTCCTGCCACGGAGGTGCGAGGTTGTCCCATAGCCGCAACCTGCTAACATTTGGATTTTCAGAATCTGAGCTATTTCTTGTGTCCACTGAGAGAATTAATCCTTTGCCCCTAGAAGTGACCTGTGCCATTCATCCAAGAAGACAGACATCTGTCCCCCAGATAAGCGTACACTGAACACAATAATTCCCATCCTAATCTCCATCGGTGTTGAATTTCCACTATTAGACCTCCATTCCTTGGGTTATGGTGTTATCCCTGATTAAAATGAAAATAGCCCCGACAGGTATTGTAGGCAAATGTGTTATTTGTAAAACATTCTCCTGTGGTACCAAAAGTGTCAAATCTCTGATTGCAGGGTCAGGCTGAGCAGGGCCTGGACAAGCACTGGATCAGCAAGTCTTACTGAGAAACAGGCTTGATGCCAGGGCCACTCAGGAGGGTCCAGCACCTGGGCAGGGCTGCCGCCCTGGGTGGGCCTTGGGGGTCCCTGGCCTGACAACCCTCTGAGCCTGCGCCTGCTGCGGTATCAAGGCCAGCATCACCACCCATTCAGCCTTCGGTTTCCCCAGCATGTGCTTCAAGAACCTAGCTTGCCCCAGCTCCTGGCCACCCACGTCCCTCGGGTAGAGCTGAGAAGCAAGGGGCGGCCCACATAGAGAGAAAAGCAGCATCAACCCCCATGACACCTGGCACCTCCTGGGAGGCACGGCACCTCAGGGCCACCTGCTCCTTGTCTCGTGTGTAGTCAGGCTGGGCTGCGAGGCAGGAAGAGTTAGGACACAGATTCCAGCCCTAGTTGGCTGTCCACCAGACTATGAACCTGGACAAGTCAGGGGCACTCGGGGGACTCTGCCCACCCTGATGCCCCACAGCCACCTTAAAATCGACCTGTTCCAGTGGGCCATCACTTCAGCCAACCCTGCGCCAGAGCCTCCCTCCCCCAGCCAGCCCTTCTCCCTGCCCCCAACCCAGCCAGCCACCCCACCAAGGGTCCCCGAAGGCAGCCTTGACTCCTCCCTCTTCTCACCCTGTGTACCTACTGTGTCACCAAGTTCTCTGGTTTTATGTCCTAAATATCTCCCCACCCAGATCATCGTGCCCTGAATCATGCCATCAATTCTCCATCCCTTTTGTGGTCTCTGCCCAGTTTTTCCTCTCTCATACCCACCTTCCAATCAGTAGCCAGAGTGGTTCTAAAAATGCAAATCTGGCCCACGCCTGTCACTGCCCTGCTAAAGACCTATTGGTAGCTCCTGTCACCTGGGGCAGTGTTCCTTCGCCTTTTTTTTTTCTAATTCCTGCTCCTCTAGTCAAAATTTAGTCAGATCTAGATTGTATTACAAAAGTGACAGGTATTCTTTTTACAATCATCAAATATAAAATTTTAATTCTGAATTTGCTTTTTCAAACCAAACACATGCTCCTTGATGGAAATTCAAACCCACCCATCCCCACCTGAGGGACTCTGCTTGTCTCTCTCTGCCCACCTCCTTCCTCTTGAGGATCACCCCCCTGTAGAATGAGGTCCCAGCTCTTAGCTGGCACACGAAGTCACATGGGCCTCTCAGCGCTCGCCCTCGCCCTCACTGATTATCATTGGTGCTCCGGGTGCTATTCCCAGGACCTGGAAGACACCAAGCCTTTTCCCACCTCGTGCCTTTGTCCATGCTGGTCTCTGCTGGAGCCTTCTTTCCTCTCTGCCTTCTCCCTTCAACTCAGGTTGTCCTCTCCTCCCTGAAGCCTTCCCCCAACACCCCTGTCCGTTAGGCTCTCACATCACCTTTCCTCACCTTTCATTCCCCTTACAGTCTGACAGCAACAATCTATCACCATGAGCTTCAGCGGGCAGGGCCTGTGTCTTCGGCATTTCTCTATTCCCCGTGTTGCCATAGGGCCTGGTGCCAGATAAGAAATGTTAGTTGAACTAAAACTCAACTAACAGTGAATTGGAGGAAGTTAGGCCGGTTCCGCAAAGCAGCACTGTCCAGACCCTGGGGTCCCAGAGGTGAGCAAGGCCCTAGGGGAGCTCATGGTGCAGTGTGGGGAGACAGACCCCTAAGCAGCCTGTTTCAGGGTAAGGTGCTGAGTGTTCATGGAGGCTGCAAGGCAGGTTTCCTAGTGCCTAAATCACCTCCTCCAAGACAAAAATGTTCTTTTGTTATATAACCCAAATGGCTGGGCACCCCCCTCTGGCAGCCTTTCTTCTTGCCTGTCTTGAAGCAGAATTCCAGCAATTGATTGCAACTCTCAAACTAACAAATCCAGCTCCACAATGTAACATTGATTATGAGGAGACACAGGAGAAGATAATATACCCCACACACCACAAGCCACAACCCCCTTGGCTCTCCAAAGTTCAGGCCTGCCCCCTTATCTGTCTCTCTCACCTCTTCCTTCCAGCAGGCGCTTCCCTCCCCCACCCCAGAGCCCTCCGCTCTTTGCTCAGGGGAGCCCTGGAGCTCCCTCTCAGCACCTCCAGTTCACATCCTCACACTCTTAACCCCTGCTCAGCAAGGACTCTGCTTGGGGTTCACCCTCCTAGGAGAGCAGCTGCGGACTGCAAATCATGAAAGACGCTCCCTGTCACAGGTCGTTTTCTTCCCTGTCCACTGAAGACCAGATATATGTAATTACTGGAGTATGAAATCGCATTTCTATGGGTTGTTCCTTGTAGGTATAAAAGGAGCAGAAGGTCTAGAAGGAGAGTAACAGATGCCCAAGTTGTCTGACTTTTTGTTAAAATCTATTTAAGCTCCGGGTGCACCGAGGCGAGGCGGGTGCCTATCTCCTTCCACTTCTGTGGGAGGTCTCCAGGCAGGAACAGACTGAGTATCCAGAGCCCAAAGTGGAAAGATGCTGCAAATTGTCATTTCCCAGCTACTTCCCCCACTGCCATGGGCACGGCCGCCCCCATGGCGATGCCTCTGAAAGCCCCAGGCCCCCAGCCACACAGCACAGCACTTGTTCCAAGCTTCAGACTTGAAGTCAGAGCTCAAACTTACCGATCCCTGAATGAGACCTCCCAAAGTGAGGGAGGAGACACTCATGGCCTTGCTGCTGTTACTTTGCAGAGTAAATGGAGACCGTTGAATAACGGACTGGACCCCACCCTGCCTGGTCTGTTCAGATAGAGAAAGCTCATGCCTCTGCGTGGTGGGATTAGGGGTGAAGGTTATCATCATCTTTTTCACACACTTCTGAATTTCTAAAGTTCTATATCAGGTACTAACTGCTGTGACCATTTAGGAAAAAATAGTTTAAAAGAAGAAAGGGAGATGAATGAAGGAGAGATGGTAAAGTCTCCCTCTATCCATCTCTGGAAACCCCCTTGGCTGGAAGAATCCTTTAACCCCCTGACTGCTGCAGGCCTAAGAAGTGCTCGTGTCTGAGCTTCCCCGAGGCATACT